CTGGATGTCACTAACTCGGCTTCTTCTCCGGAGCCTTTGTGCTCCACTGTCTCTCAGATTAACTCATATCACAGCGGTGCCTGGACAGTGTGACGTGTGTGGTTGTGCTGCTGCCGTGGTCCTGCCAGATGCCTCCTGCTGCTGCTGCCATCATTAGTCATTAGTCATACTTCTACTGTTATTATACACATATGACTATTGTCACACATGTATACTGCCAGATATTAATACATACTTTCAACATATTGTACCACAATAATACAATATGTAATATATAACTGTAATAGTATTACTTTCATTAATGTTGTAAGCTACTGTCATTACTGTCTGTCCTGCATCTCACACTGTTCTGTACGACATCTACTGCACGTCTGTCCGTCCTGGAAGAGGGATCCCTCCTCAGTTGCTCTTCCTGAGGTTTCTACTGTTTTTTTTCCCCGTTAAAGGGGTTTTTTGGGGAGTTTTTCCTTATCCGCTGTGAGGGTCATAAGGACAGAGGGATGTCGTATGCTGTAAAGCCCTGTGAGGCAAATTGTGATTTGTGATTTTTGGCTTTATAAATAAAATTGATTGATTGATTGATTGATTGATTGATTATCTCAGGAACACCTCAAGGGAATTTCCTTAAATTTGGCACAAATGTCTGCTTGGACACAACAATGAACTGATTAGATTTTGGTAGTCATAGGTCAAAGGTCAAGGGCATAGTGACTCATTTTTGTGAATGTGATATCTGAAGAACTGTTGAAAGGAATTTCTTGAAATTTGGCACAAACATCAACATGGACTGAAGAAAAAACTGATTAGAAATTTGTTGTCGAAGATCAAAGGTGAAGGTCAGTGTGACCTCACAAAACATGTTTTGGACCATAACTCAAGAATGTATGTGATAATTATGACAAAACTTCACACAAATGTCTAATAGGGTAAAAATTATGAAGCAATGACACTTTTTAACCAAAAAGTCTAAGGTCAACAACACTTTGACATCATAATGTTCTGCATAACACACTTTTCTGGACATTTTTCAACATCACATCTCAGGAACAGAAGGGGAGACATTTGGTCAGATACTGAAACCATGACACTAATCTTGGGTGTCCACCTTGACACTGTGCTGATTGTATAGATCTTCTGAGTGTGAAGCATCCATGTTTTCACTGACATGGATGGAAACTGTCAGAGAAACTTGACTGGTGTGCGGGGCGGTTATTCTAGTTTAATGATAACGTAATGTGCTATTATGTGTAGCATACTACGCTAGTGATGTATGTCACGTATATGATGTGACCTTGCATCAGTAATGTAAACCTAATCACGTACTTATGTCACCTAAACATAAGGGAGGTAAAAAATAAATAAAAATCAAACAAACATTTTAACGTACATTCTGAGGTTATTTGGAAAAGAGATAGTATACATCTTATCAGCAGATACATTTTCTTTGAAAACGAACAAGCTTAAATGGACACACCGTCCCTAAGCATCAAAAACTGATGCTGGAGAGATGGGCAAGAACTCTTTTTCCACTTTCTACCTTCATGCATTTTGCATATTTTAAGACCGAGACACCTGTAAAGGGTGAAACCTTATCTTTCCCCTTAGTGTTACCTGTGGACCTCTGCAGTCACAGCAGCATGAAGTAATTTTTTTTTTTACTTTGTGTCCTCAGAGTGTTGATATGTCTGCTGCCAGCTGTCTGCTGACTGAAGATCAGTTTCTGTGCTCCATCTGTCTGGATATGTTCACTGATCCAGTCAACACACCATGTGGACACAACTTCTGTAAAACCTGCATCACTGAACACTGGAGTACTAATGTCCCCTATCAGTGTCCAAACTGTAAGAAGGTTTTCAGCACCAGACCTGAGCTGCAGGTCAACACTTTCATCTCTGAGATGGCTGCTCAGTTCAGACAGTCAGCTCAACAGAAAGCCAGCAGCAGCAGCTCAGAGCAACAAATTTCCAAACCAGGAGAAGTTCCCTGTGACGTCTGCACTGGAACCAAACTGAAGGCCCTGAAGTCCTGCCTGGTGTGTCTGGAATCCTACTGTGAGACTCACCTGGAGCCTCATCTGACAAGATCAGGCCTGAAAAGACATCAGCTGATCGACCCTGTGGAGAACCTGGAAGGCAGGATGTGTCTGAAGCACGATAAACTGCTGGAGCTGTTCTGTAAGACCGACCAGATGTGTGTCTGCATGCTCTGCACTGTTTTAGACCACAAGACACATGATGTTGTTCCTCTGAGAGAAGAATATGAAGGAAAGAAGGCCGAGCTTGAGGCTGAAATTCAGCAGATGATCCAGAAGAGACAACTGAAGATTGAGGAGATCAAACACTCAGTGGAGCTCAGTGAGGAAGATGCAGACAGAGAGATAGCAGATGGTGTTCAGGTCTTCACCGCTCTGAAGGAGTCTGTTGAGAGAAGCCAGGCCGAGCTCATGGACACGATCAAAGAGAAGCAGAGAAAGACAGAGAAACAGGCTGAAGGCTTCATCAAAGAGCTGGAACAGGAAATCTCTGAGCTGAAGAAGAGGAGCACTGAGGTGGAGCAGCTCTCAAGCTCTGAAGACCACCTCCACCTCCTCCAAAGCTTCACGTCCCTGAACACTGCTCCACCCACCAAGGACTGGACAGAGGTCAGCGTCCGTCCACCTTCATATGAGGGGACTGTGAGGAGAGCTGTGAGTCAGCTGGAGGAGACGCTCAGGAAACAGATGAAGAAGCTGTTTGAGGTCGAGCTGAAGAGGGTCCAGCAGTCTGCAGTGGATGTGACACTTGATCCTGATACAGCACAGCCCTGGCTCATCCTGTCTGATGATGGAAAACAAGTACATGATAGTGATGTAATGAAGAATCTCCCAAACAATCCAGAGAGATTTGACACTTCTGTCTGTGTCTTAGCAAAACAGAGTTTCTCTTCAGGAAGATTTTATTATGAGGTTCAGGTTAAAGGGAAGACTGACTGGGATTTAGGAGTGGCCAGAGAGTCGATCAACAGGAAGGGACAGATCACACTGAGACCTCAGGATGGTTACTGGACGATATGGTTGAGGAATGAAAATGAATACAAAGCTCTTGCTAGCCCTTCAGTCAGTCTCTCTCTGAAGTCTCAGCCTGAGAAGGTGGGGGTGTTTGTGGATTATGAGGAGGGTCTGGTCTCCTTTTATGATGTTGATGCTGCAGCTCTTATCTACTCCTTTACTGGCTGCTCCTTCACTGAGAAACTCTACCCATACTTCTGTCCATTTCTTAATATTGGTGGTAAAAACTCTGCCCCTCTGATCATCTCTCCTGTCGATTAAGCACGTAGGAGAAGTTTGTTCAGAGAAGTGGTGCATGATTTGATAAAAATGTGCGATTGAGACTTTGGTGGACAATATCGCGATTTACAATTGTAATTACAATGTAATAAACATGCCTAAATGGTATCCTGAGTCTTCTTGCTTGATTCAGTGTTTCCCCTGCCGTCATATTAGGGGGGCACTGGCATGACCTGACATATAATAGTTATTGTTATGGACAGTGTGTAAATGACCATCAACAAACTGCTGTTAGGCACAGTCAAACACGCTGCTCGCACAGCAGCGCAGCACGGCACTGTACACACACTCAGTTGGAGCGGAGCCTGTGTTACGTTCTGGCGTTGTCACGTAAATGACAAATTCCAGCACGTGAATAGCCCATTGCACAACACAGCAGCATGCCAAGTGGGCTGAGCCCGAGCAAAATTCATTTCATTTGTTATAGTGTTCATTTGTTATATAGTTTGTTATGGAGTCCGTGATTTCCGTGATATGTGTAATTGTGCTTTGTTGTTGTTTTATGAGGCTCTGGCGGCTTTCAGTTGTCTCTTTGTCTCTAACGTTACTTGCATCCTTTGTACTTTTCTCTGTGCTGTCTCAAGTGTTGATAAACACTGGTCTTGTTGCCGCGGGACTTGTCGACTTTAACTTTGCAAGTTTTACACAGCATGTCTTTTTATTCAACATCGCCGTCCCTGAATCCAAAGTACTGCCATATAATAGATGTTGCTGCTTTTTTTCGTCACCAACTCAGCCTGTTTTTCATTGTGCTCATGCTCCTTTTCAGCATCCATGTTAGTCACTGCTGCACGCCGGGTGGTCACCTGACCATACATGCTGCACACACCAGGATAGCTTGTGGACGTAATGTCATCAAACTCCACACACTATAGGAGAGGTAGTCACGTTCACAGGCACACACGTTAACATTTGTTTACATTAAATCGCAAATTGCAGCCTTTTATGTTATGTAATTATGTACGTGCAGCACTAGTTTGGAGACCTTTTATTTCAACCAAAACTAATACCATCAGTCACACAAAATGGAACAACCATTTGTAAAATTTGACTATAATCAACAGACAAGTTCAGGAATTTTTGTCTGTCGTCTTTCCGTTGTAAATTTAATATTAGGTCTTGATTCATTTGACATTTACTTTTGTCATCAACAAAATCTGATCAGCTGCAGTGGTTCTATGTATGGACTGTATAAATAATGGACGTAGCCACTGTAACTTCAACCACTGGTTTGTGGACTCCTGTTGTAAAGCCTCAAGTTCGGCATTTCCGCTGTTGCCATCTTGTGTTTTTTTTTGGAGCCAGAATTGACCAAATTTGGATGAGAAGCTGGAGCTATTACTAAGTAGTAGGTAGGTAAAGCTTTATTTATATAGCACCTTTCAAGACCATGGTCACAAAGTGCTGTACAGTAGACATAAAATAGAAATAAAACATACGACAATACAATATTACAGTACACACGGCAAACAAAGACAAGATATGCCTGGAATGCACCAAATAAACAGTTCAAATATATACACATGCGACACAGGAAAGATTATGTAATCACACCATAGGCACCGCATCTAAAAAGGCAACAGAAAAAAGGTGGGTTTTAAGGCGATTTTTTCTGGGCTTTTGCCTTTAATGGATAGGACAGTGTGTGAAAAGGGGAGACAGAGAGAGAGAGAGAGCAGGGACTGACGCAGCAAAGAGTCGCAGGCCGGACTCGAACCCGCAACCGCTGCAGCGAGGCAATGCCTCTGTACATAGGGCGCAGGCACTATCCACTACGCTACCGATGACCCGCTGCGGTGGGAAGTTTGTTCCATAATCTGGGGGCCACTACAGAGAAGGCATGGTCACCTTTGGGTTTCAAATTAGTCCTGGGGACAGTAAGAAGCCCTGCATGGGATGATGTAAGGGGTCTCACAGGTGTGTGAGGACTAAGCAGATCACTAATATAGCTGGGAGCCAGGCCATGCAGAACCTTGAAGGTAATTAAAAGTATTTTAAAATCAATTCTAAATTTAACAGGTAACCAGTGCAGAGTGGCCAGGGTGGGAGTTACGTGAGAGCGGCATGAAGACTTGGTGAGATCCCTCGCTGCAGCATTTGGCACAACCTGTAATCGGTTCAGAGAAGTTTGGGAGAAGCAAGTAAATAAGGAATTACAGTAATCCAGACTGGTAGAGATAAAAGCTTGAATAAGTTTTTGCATGTCATGGGATTAGAGAACTGGGTGGAGTTTCCTGATGTTCATTGAATACACGAGAGGGGAAGGTATGTTTGTTAGGTAAAGAATCTGCCAGAAAGACTGTCTCAAAAATAATACAACTGTTATCAGAGGTCAAATCTTTCAGTGATATGGCACTAGGAGCTATATCCAATGTAAAGACAAGGTCCAGGGTATGGCCACGGTTGTATGTGGGTCCAGTAACATGCTGAATTAAATTAAAAGAATCAGTAATATTAAAAAAAAAAAAAAAAAAAAAAAGCTAGTGCAAAATTATTTCTGGGATCATCCACGTGAATGTTAAAATCACCAACCAAAATAACACGGTCATGACTGATTATAATAGAAGACATGAAGTCTGAGAATTATTAAATAAGCTATAGAGACCAAAACTGTTTTTTGCACCAGGCTGTAAACATGTTTATTCCTACTGTAAATCTGGACTCTGTTTTGGAGCCAGCCTCAAGTGGTCATTAGAGGAACTGCAGTTGTTGGAACTTCCACACTGGCTTCATTTCTCAGCCTCTGAGGTTGCAGCTTGGGTTTTACACACCAGAGAAGAAGAAAAGTTTTGTCTCAGCTGTCTGTTGTGTTATTTTCATTTCATGTTGTCCTCCTCTCTGCAGACTGTTTGTACAACTCCAACAAAGTGAACAAAAACTCAACAACTAAATGTTTTATTGGATTTGTTTTTCTTCTTCGCATTTACTCAAGTACTGTACTTAAGTATAAAGTACAAGTACCTCAAAGTTGCAATTTCTCTTGCTATATTGATGTAACAGCTTTACTACTTTCAAATTAAAGATTTAAATAGAACATGATCAGTATATAAAATATTGTTGCCCATTGTTCCAGATCAATCTACCTTTGTTATATCTAATCTATATGAAGTAGGTAACATTAGTGTGTACAGTACCTTTACTTCAAATACATTTTATTATCATTCTGTATATACAGCAGTATACAGTGAATGAAATGTCATTATTAAAAAAAAATCCAGGTGCAGTAAAGAACATACAGCAAACAAGACATTCAACAATTACTCAAGTCCTGTACTTAGTTACAACTTTGAGGTACTTGTACTTCACTTGAGTATTTCCATTTGCTGCTATACTTTGACTCCACTCATTCTTGTTGACAAATATTGTACTTGTACTCCACTACATTTATTTTAAAGCTTAGTTACTTTACAGATTCTGATTATTAATGACAAATATATTAAACTAATAAATGTAGGTTGCATTACTGTAGATCAAACTGCTCAGAAGTATATAAACTAATTAAAGTGAGCTCCATCTTTACCAGCTGTAGGTTTAAAGTGATGAACACATTAATGCATCAATAATTATAATCCAATGATATAAAATATTTTGTTTTGAAATGGGCCAAGGATTTTTACCTGTAGTGGAGTATTGTCACAGTGTGGTATTAGTACTTTGACTTCAGTAAAGGATCTGAATACTTCCTCCACCTCTCCCTCTTGGTGACGGCCCACTGAGAGGTGGAGCAACAGTGAAAGAGGAGAGCTTTAAAGTCCTGAAATCAAAGTGAAAGTGAAAGTGTGTGTGAGTGACAGCAGAGCTGCAGTGGAGACGAGTCTCTCTGTTTCTCTAGAAAGAAACATTCAACTGAATCCAGCAGGTTTTTCTCAACAACAAACACTGGTGAGTTCACTGTCCTACAGAGACAAAATACACTAAATATCTGGTCAAAGTTTAGTTCAAACCACAATCTGACTGTTTTACATCTGTTTTACCTTATAAAGAATATTATACCATAGAAATGTGTCAGTTTAGATAAAAACAACATGTGAATTTAGCCAGAAATACAAAACAGAGGTAAAAACCAAAGCACAGTGACTGAACTACAGTCACAGCTAGCGTTAGCTTCAAGCTCATTTACAGGCCTGTTTCCTGTCTGAACTCTGAGCGCCACTCAGACAGGAAGTTACACTCAGAGCCGTAGACAGGGCAAATACTTCAGGTCAATTAGGGGCTCAGGGGTTGTGAAGAGAAACTGTATTATATTTAATTTCCTGCAGTTCCCCTGTGGATCAATAATATCTTAACTGATGATCATACATCATATTTTATGTGTTGATTATATAGAATCTGAATCTGCAAAGTAACTAATAACAAACAGTATTAAATTAATGCAGTGGAGTAAGAAGTACAACATGTCCCTGTAATTTTTGGAAGCACTTCACATTACAGCTCCGTAATAACATGATGATAGTGAGGTAATAGTTTCATGATGAAGAGGGAATAATTAAGTAGTAACACGTAATGACCAAATTAATAACCAGGTAAAGCTTGGTATTAACAGTGAGTATATCTGGGTAATATTAGACTGAAATGTATGTAACAGTGATAGAACTTGTCTCACTCCCAACTCAGCAAATACAGATGATTGGTCGGTGGCCCTCTGTGTCACATACAGACGCACAGAGGCATCCTTTAGTGGTGGTATGAGACACAACAGGCGGCAGCATTTTTTGAGGCTACAAGCAACTGCTGCTGTATAAAGAGCGTGACAGTCTGCTTAGGGAGGGCGGGAGGTGAAGTGTTGGGGTAAAACAAACTTCGGTGTGTAACCTGGGAGTCCACTGTTCATGTCCTGTGTGAAACTAAAAGGCATTGGTGTAATTTTTATGCCTCTGTGCCGGCGATAGCTGTTTCCAGGTTGTCCATTAGTTCATCTGTTATCTCAAGAACGCCTCAAGGGAATTTCCATAGATTTGGCACAAACGTCCACTTAGACTCAACAATGAACTGATTAGCTTTTGGTGGTCAAAGGTCAAAGGTCAAGGTCAGTGTGATCTTGTCTGACTCATTTTTGTGAATGTGACGTGAAGAACAGTTTAAGGGATTTTCTTTAAATTTGGCACAAACATCACCGTGGACTGAAGAAAAAACTGATGAGAAATTTGTTGTCGAAGGTCAAAGGTGAAGGTCAGTGTGACCTCACAAAACATGTTTTTGGCCATAACTCAAGAATGTATGTGGTAATTATGACAAAACTTCACACAAATGTCTAATATGGTGAAATTATGAATCGATGACACTTTAGAACATGTCAGAGAAAGTTGACTGGTGTGCAGGGCGGTTATTCTAGTTTAATAATAACATATTGTGCTATTATGTGTAGCATACTATGCTAGCGATGTATGCCACGTACATGATGTGACCTTGCATCAGTAATGTAAACCTAACGTACTTTTGTCACCTAAACCTAAGGAGGTAAACAAAAAAAACAACGATTTTTAACCTATGCTCTACGTTTATTTTGAAAATAGATTATTTACATCTTATGAGTAAATACATTTTCTCTGAAAATTATTTCTTTTTTTAAAGACACATTATATGTAACAAGCTTTAATGGACACACCGTCCCTGAGCATCAAAAACTGATGCTGGAGGGCTACTTGACCGTCACAGTCTGACATGTAGGACCACTGACCAGGTGTCATTATTGGACAAATTGGGAGTGAGAATGCGTTTGGTTATAAGAGGCCAAAAACAGAGGGTAATAATCAGGAAGCACATTTAAAGATAACAGCGAGGTTAAACTTCTTACTTAATAGTAATGCTTTCGTATCACTATGGTAACCTGATAACAACAACATTGTTGTATCAGTGCAATGTTTAGGTTTAAAAATGGTAATATGCTGACATTAATGGGGTAATTAAAGCCTGATGATAATGAGGTGACACAGGTTGATGTTTTTACAATATTAATGGACACTGACACAGAAATACTTTTAAAATCTCATGAAAATTCTTGGAAGTCAAAATTGATGACTACCACATTATAATGCTGAAAGTCATCCTCCATTTTTGTTCCAAACTCTTGTTTCAAGGTAAATTAATGCAGTGACTTGTTACCTGGAAAAACTTGTGTAAGTTTCTGTGTAATAACGATGACTCAGGGCTGCAAAAAACAAATATTTCTATTTACTCTACACTACTTTAAAATAAACACATTGGATACTATTGATATGTTGAACATGTTTTTCTTTTCAAACTTTAAAGGAATCCGTTTAAAAAAAAACAGAAAAACTTTGGTGAACGGCTCCTCTCTCTTCATTGCAGGACAGAGAGATACAGAAGATCCTATATACCAACAGCCATCAGGCTTTATAATTCTTTGACATATAATAGATGAGCTGACAGATAATTGAATTTCCCCTTGGGGAGGAATAAAGTTATTCTTATTCTTATTAACATGTATTTTTATTGGAATATTCACCTCACATGACATGAATGGTTGATTTGGATACAAACTGACACAAAAATAGCTTTAACCTGAGCCACACCCAGAAATAACTGAATGAAAATATGTTTCTGACAAAACAGACATCTGAGTTTTGGTGCAGCATTTGAATTAAATTTGAAGAAAATTCTAAAACAGTTAAAACAAAAGCATATCCCATCACCATGCAGTTACCTTTGACTTTGTTAGAGATGGGCAAGAACTCTTTCTCCACTTTCTACCTTCAAGCATTTTGCATATTTTAAGAGCGAGACACCTGTAAAGGGTGAAACCTTAACTTTCCCCTTACTGTTACCTGTGGACCTCTGCAGTCACAGCAGTATGAAGTAATTTTTTTTTTTACTTTGTGTCCTCAGAGTGTCGATATGTCTGCTGCCAGCTGTCTGCTGACTGAAGATCAGTTTCTGTGCTCCATCTGTCTGGATATGTTCACTGATCCAGTCAGCACACCATGTGGACACAACTTCTGTAAAACCTGCATCACTGAACACTGGAGTACTAATGTCCCCTATCAGTGTCCAAACTGTAAGAAGGTTTTCAGCACCAGACCTGAGCTGCAGGTCAACACTTTCATCTCTGAGATGGCTGCTCAGTTCAGACAGTCAGCTCAACAGAAAGCCAGCAGCAGCAGCTCAGAGCAACAAATTTCCAAACCAGGAGAAGTTCCCTGTGACGTCTGCACTGGAACCAAACTGAAGGCCCTGAAGTCCTGCCTGGTGTGTCTGGAATCCTACTGTGAGACTCACCTGGAGCCTCATCTGACAAGATCAGGCCTGAAAAGACATCAGCTGATCGACCCTGTGGAGAACCTGGAAGGCAGGATGTGTCTGAAGCACGATAAACTGCTGGAGCTGTTCTGTAAGACCGACCAGATGTGTGTCTGCATGCTCTGCACTGTTTTAGACCACAAGACACATGATGTTGTTCCTCTGAGAGAAGAATATGAAGGAAAGAAGGCCGAGCTGGGGAAGACAGAGGCTGAAATTCAGCAGATGATCCAGAAGAGACGACTGAAGATTGAGGAGATCAAACACTCAGTGGAGCTCAGTGAGGAAGATGCAGACAGAGAGATAGCAGATGGTGTTCAGGTCTTCACCGCTCTGAAGGAGTCTGTTGAGAGAAGCCAGGCCGAGCTCATGGACACGATCAAAGAGAAGCAGAGAAAGACAGAGAAACAGGCTGAAGGCTTCATCAAAGAGCTGGAACAGGAAATCTCTGAGCTGAAGAAGAGGAGCACTGAGGTGGAGCAGCTCTCACGCTCTGAAGACCACCTCCACCTCCTCCAAAGCTTCATGTCCCTGAACACTGCTCCACCCACCAAGGACTGGACAGAGGTCAGCGTCCGTCCACCTTCATATGAGGGGACTGTGAGGAGAGCTGTGAGTCAGCTGGAGGAGACGCTCAGTAAACAGATGAAGAAGCTGTTTGAGGTCGAGCTGAAGAGGGTCCAGCAGTCTGCAGTGGATGTGACACTCGATCCTGATACAGCACATCCCAAACTCATCCTGTCTGATGATGGGAAAAAAGTTACATATGGTGATGTAACGAAGAATCTCCCAAACAATCCAGAGAGATTTGATACTTGTTCCTGTGTCTTAGCAAAGCAGAGTTTCTCTTCAGGAAGATTTTATTATGAGGTTCAGGTTAAAGGGAAGACTGACTGGGATTTAGGAGTGGCCAGAGAGTCGATCAACAGGAAGGGAAAAATCACACTGGGCCCTCAGAATGGTTACTGGACGATATGGTTCAGAAATGAAAAAGGGTACAAAGCTCTTGCTGGCCCTTCAGTCCGTCTCTCTCTGAAGTCTCGGCCTGAGAAGGTGGGGGTGTTTGTGGATTATGAGGAGGGTCTGGTCTCCTTTTATGATGTTGATGCTGCAGCTCTTATCTACTCCTTTACTGGCTGCTCCTTCACTGAGAAACTCTACCCACTCTTCAGTCCCAGTCTTAACTATGGTGGTAAAAACTCTGCCCCTCTGATCATCTCTCCTGTCAATCAAACACATAGCAGTAGTTTGTATAGAGATATTTTGTTTTAACTAAAACTAATAGCATCAGTCACACAAAGTAGAACAACCATCTGATTTTCTACAGAAAGATTCACTCTCATTTAATGTAATAAATGTATATTATTGGTGATGTACTGTGAATACATTGTTGATTGTTTAGATTCTGATCAATGTGGTTTTTCCCCTTTTTTTCTGTAAATATTTTTCACTGAAGTGCCACATTGCAGTTTACTACTTCAACACAGATATTTAACAACACTGGTGATATTATCTCATGTGTAATATAATCTATTTTAACTACTGCATTACCTGTCTTTGAGACTGTTGAATTAAATGTCCTCAAATGCCTGGGTGCCAAATTCAGAACTTTTATTGTCTGATAACTGTTTATATAAGAAGTGTTGCCAAGCATCCTCTATTTTGTTCATATAAGGTTTCAAAATAAAGTGTTTTAGGGATTTTAGGTTTACCTTTTCTAATCAACAGACAAGTTAAGGGATTTCTGTGTGGTGTGTTTTCAGGGGAAACTTTACGATAAATTCTTGATTAATTTGACATTTACTTTTAACATCAACAGAATCTGATCATAAAACATTCAGCTGCAGTGGTTTTACATATCGACTGTGTCAATAGAGTCATGATGACCCCAATTGTGAAACCTCAAGTTCAGCATTTCAGCTGTTGCCATCTTGGCTTTTTGGAGCCAGACGTGACCAAATTTGGAGAAAGGCTGGAGCTGTGGAGGAGTGAGGGGTGGATCTGACTCACAAACTGCAGCGACCAGTAGCGACGACTTGTAGGCAGTCTGTCAGTCAAGCAGCCCTGCCCTTAAACATGCAAAACTTTGGGTCTTAATAAAATGTAAAAGGATGAGTTATATAAAAATGTACGCCTCAAATGTTGAAATTAGCTATAGAGACAGTAAAGGCTGTAAACATGTTTATTTCTAGTATAAAGTTGGACATTTTAACATGGAGGTCTATGGGGACTGACTCTGTTTTGGAGCCAGCCTCAAGTGGTCATTAGAGGAACTGCAGTTTTTGGCACTTCCACATTGGCTTCATTTCTCAGCCTCCGAGGTTACAGTTTGGGTTTTACACATCAGAGAAGAAGAAAAGTTTTGTCTCAGCTGTCTGTTGTGTTATTTTCATTTCATATTGTCCTCCTCTCTGCAGACTGTTTGTACAGCTCCAACAAAGTGAACAAAAACTCAACAAATAAAAAAGTTTCAGTGGATTTGTTTTTTCGTCACATTTACTCAGGTACTGTACTTAAGTATAAAGTACAAGTACCTCAAGTATTTCCATTTTATGCTACTTGATACTTTTGCTACATTTCAGAGAGAAAAACTTTACTAAAAGTAGCCTTACTACTTTTAAATTAAAGATTTAAACAAAACATGATCAGTATAAAAATATTATTGCCCATTGTTCCAGATCAATCTACCTTTATTATATCTAATCCATATGATGTAGTTAACATGAACACGATTTACTTCAATTACATTTTATTATCATTCTCTATATACAGCAGTATACAGTGAACGAAATGTTGTTAAAAAAATCCAGGTGCAGTAAAGAACATACAGCAAACAAGACATTCAACAATTACTCAAGTCCTGTACTTAGTTACAACTTTGAGGTACTTGTACTTCACTTGAGTATTTCCATTTGCTGCTATACTTTGACTCCACTCATTCTTGTTGACAAATATTGTACTTGTACTCCACTACATTTATTTTAAAGCTTAGTTACTTTACAGATTCTGATTATTAATGACAAATATATTAAACTAATAAATGTAGGCTGCATTACTGTAGATCAAACTGCTCAGAAGTATATAAACTAATTAAAGTGAGCTCCATCTTTACCAGCTGTAGGTTTAAAGTGATGAACACATTAATGCATCAATAATTATAATCCAATGATATAAAATATATTGTTTTGAAATGGGCCAAATTCTGCATAAAGACTTCTCTTAGTTTCTCTACTTTCAATGTATTTTGATTCTAACACTTTTGTACTTTTACTTTAGATGCATTGCTGTAGATTAAACTCCCCAACAGGATATAAAGGAGTTAAAATGAGCTCAACCTGAAACATCTACAGCAGTAAAATGACACATACACATTAATGCAGCAGGAATATTAATCCAAAAACATCAGATAGAATAAAACACTGTTGACTGCACAATGAATAGTTTTACTTTCAGTGCTTTAAGTATATTTTGTTGATAATACATACGTTGACTACAGTAAAGCCTAACTTTCCCAAAGTGAAGTTCTGAATGCAGGACCTTTACTTGTAATGGAGTATTTTTACAGTGTGTTAATAAAGGATCTGGATACTTCTTCCAGCTCTGCTTTAAAAAACACTGTTGAGGTCTCTGTGTTGAGACTCGGTGCAGTTTTAATGAAGCTCATAATTACATCTGACAGCCTGCATTAACACGACTTCTGCTTTCTGTCTGATGTGTTCTACCCCTCCTCCTCGTAGCCTCGAGGCTACATGGAAGCTAATAAACTCTCTCATCTCTGTCTGAGGACTGCTGTGATGATAGTTATCACCTCCTCCTCCTCTCTGTATGAATACAGACAGTCAGAGCTCTGTGAGCTCAGCGCTTCACGTCCTCTCATCTTTACGGGGTCAAAGGTCACAGTGGAAAGTCTTAGAGCTTCATATGTGATGGGCTGCCACACAACATACAGAGAGGACACTTTAACCTTCTTTATTCTGAGCGCTATCATATCTGACACAAAGGTCAGAGGATGGACACTATCCACAGACTGTATAATAGTCAAAGTATCCTCATACAACGGTTCGTATCATATCTTACAAAAATGCACATTGACATAAAGTTACAAACTTGACTTAAAGTTACAACGGTTAAGTTTAGGAAAAGAAACACGGCTGAAAGTCATCACGCTATATACTCAACATTAAGTTATGTACTTAACTTAAGTTACATAGGTTGGCATTACAAAAGTAAAGTTACACAGGTTAGTATTAGAAATGGAAAGTTAAGCAGGTTAGAGTTAGAAAATAAATATGGTTGGGTGTCATCACATTATATGCTTAACTTAAAGTTACATACTTAGCACAAGGTTACACACTTAACATAATGTACTTAACATTAAATTACATAGATTAGATTTAGGAAAAGAAAGTAGGGATGTCCCGATCCGATATTCGGATCGGTATCGGCTGCCGATATTAGCAAAAAAGGGGCATCGGCATCGGATCGGACTGCATGGAAAAATGCAGATCCAAGAACTCCGATCCAGTTTTTCATGTAGTCCAATCCAGCCCAACGCTCCGCAATTCAAGCAGTCCATTCCAGTGATCCGCTCCAGCGCTTACTATTAATCCACCAGGCCAGAAATGCAGACACACGGGAAACAGCAGCACCAGGCTGGCACTGACACTACTAAAATAACTGAAAAGGAAAGGCTGCATTGTTTGTTAAATGTCAACAATGTCTTGTGGTGTTAATCTTTTTTTTATTTATTAGGGGGCCAAAGCACAAGTGTGTGGCATCTTGCTGCTATTTTAATTTCAATATTAGACATTTTAAAGATTTCTTGTGTTGATTTATTTTCTATTTATTAAGGGGCCACAGCAAACCAGCTATATTTTTTATTTAATGTTAATGTTCAAGTTTAAAGTTTGTTTATTTAACCCTGTTAACAATAAACAGGTCAGTTTCTCATACCAACTGTTGTGGATCATTCTAACTAACTTGATTAAGTAGTTGTTCTTGTTAGAGTAATATTGCTTGATCAAACCTTTTCTAACATGACTGACAACAAAGTAAGTAAATATGTACAATACACGCTTGGATTGGATCGGTATCGGCCAAAATTCAAGGCTGTAATATCGGTATCGGATCGGAAGTGAAAGAGCTGGATCAGGACATCCCTAAAAGAAACATGATTGGATATCATAATCGTTATATACGTCACTTAAAGTTACGTACTTCATGTTAAGTTATGCAGGTTAGGGTTAAGAAAAGAAACGTGGTTGGATGTTGTCATGTTATTTATCTAAGGTAAAGTTCCATACTTAACGTAAAGTTACATAGGTTAGGGTTGGGAAAGTAAAGTTGTGTAGGTTAGGTTTAGGAACCGAAATATGGTTGGTCGTCATCATATTATATACTTAACATAAAGTTACATACTAAATGTAACGTTCTGAACGTAAAGTTACTTACTTAACATCAAGTTACACAGGTTAGGGTTAGGAAAGTTTTGTAGGTTAGATTTAGGAAAAGAAAGATGGTTGGGCATTGTCATGTTATATACTTTACGTGGAGTTACATTCTTAACATTGTGTTATGCAGGTTAGGGTTAGGAAAGTAGAGTTATGTAGGTTAGGGAAGGAAACATGGTTGGGCAGCGTCACATTATGTGCTTAATGTAAACTTTCGTACTTAACGGGTAATTATGTATTTAACATAACGTACTTAACATAAAGTTAAGTAGGCTGGGGTTAGGAATGTAAAGATACGGAGGTTAGAAAGAAAGAAACATCAGAAACACACAAGAACACTGATCTCTGGGGGGAAAGTCCTGTGCTGTTTGACCAATTCACCACGCCAACCTGCATCCTGTCATCACATTGGTCATGCAATTGCAGCCTTCCTGATTATGTGGGTTATATATACAAAACGTGGTACATTACTTTCTATAGGTATACATACTAATGGTGCACCAGAACAGGCATTGAGATGTCACCCATTGGTTTGTGGACTGCCATTTTGAGGCCTCCAGTTTGACATTTTAGCCATCGCCATCTTGATTTGTTGGGTCCAGAAGTGACCGTATTTGAACAAGAGGATGGAGCTGTGAAGGAGGGAGGGGCGGATCTGACTGAGAACTGAGGACATCGTCATGGTAGCAACTTGTCAAGGTAGCTACGCCCAAAAGCAAACCCTGCTTTATCGTGTATTTTACTCTAAATGGGAGCATAATTTACAAAATGAACATCATGTTTATGAAAGAGAACTTGATATGAGTGACTGAGACCATAAACTCATTAAAAGAATGTTAACTGAGGTAAAAACTCAAGGAGAAAGAATAACTCTTCAGTGCAATCAAACTTCTTTCTGCAACCACTGGAGTCGCCCCCTGCTGGCTGTTAGAAAGAATGCAGGTTTAAGGCACCACAGCATTCCCTTCACTTCTCACATTAAACCACAGATGAGTGAGAGACTGACCTCTACAGCGAGGGAAGGATGAGAGAATATGATGAGAAACTTAATTAGAATATTTATTATGTTAATTTTCTACAACAGCAAACACATTTAGTGAGAGAGAAATGCCCAGAAGGTTTTCTTATCATCATGACAAAATATTTTTCTTATCAGCAATTTTTTTGTTATTTTTCCCACAAATCCTGGGAAATATCTGCTGAATAGCTAAAGTGTGACTGAGACTGTTAGATGCAGGAAGGATGGGGGTTTTGGTTAAAAATCTGCAAAGCCCAGACGTCCTTACTGTGTTCAAGAATAAAGACCAATTCAACATTTTGGGAGACAGCCTTTATCACTCTGTTGTGAAGAATTAGGTGACTCTCACATCTGTCATACATTAAATCGCTGTCATTACGTCACCAGACATCTTGAACCAAATATTCAAGAGTGACGGGCCTTTAAACTGAGCTCAGCGCCATGATTGATGAGATAAAAGTTCAAATCAAAAGGATCGGTATCACAGGTCGCCTTTTCTCTTTCAAAGACCCTGAAGCCTCGGAGCCGCTGAGGGCCAAGACACCCCGGAGCCTTCTGCAGTAATTGGGATTCAGTCTGCATGTAGATGATGTAATATACGCTGCTCTGTAACAGGTATCCCATGGTAACAAGAGACAGCAGCGGAGACAGTGGCGGTGGCCTCTGTTTGCTCGTTAGCTGCAGCTCATCACCGGCCTTCTTTAATTCTCCATCTGCTCCAGCACACCAGGAGGAAGATGTTATTGTGTCTCGTCTCCATCGGTCTGAGCAGAGGACGCTGGGAGAAGACGAGTGAACAGCGTGTTCACTGTAAACATGATTAAAGAGACGGCAGCATTTAATAAAATAATAATGATCAGAAAAGAAAAGAAGGTAAAACTGAAGGAAATCTGACGACTGAGGCTCAATGCTGCACATTACAACTTTTCACTGTTCCCCTCTGAGATGTAGTGAGTAAAAGTATCAAGTAGCATAAAGTGGAAATACTTAGCTTGATAATTTAT